CTGGAGTGGTGTGGATTACTTGTGGATTATTGTGATGTTTTTAGCTGTTTGGACTTTCATTCTGATGGCACCCATTCACCCATTGGTGAGCAAGTGACATAATGCTAAATTTCTCCAAATCTATTCCAATGAAGAAACAAGCTCATCTACATCTTGGATGGCCTGAAGGTGAGTAAATTTTCAGCAAATATTTTCTTTTTGGGTGAACTGTTCCTTTAGACGTACACATGTAAATGACTCCCATGGCCCTACAGAGAATAAGCAGTTTGGAGAAGAGATGGGTATAAATACCTCTTGTATCAAAGACAGCTACAGGTCAAGCATTACTTTTGTAAACATACAGATTTTAAGCTGTAAAAATCATATGAAATGATTCCTTAGCTTATGTTATCTTATTGATCTGTCCATGACGGCAATACGAGCTGCATGTATTCCAACTTTCTCTCATGTAATAGAGGACTGCGTCACACTCTTCTGACTGCTGGTGCTCCTCATTGCACCCGTGCCTGAATGCCAAGAGCTTGTAACACTCCAAAGAGAAAGGAAAAATTGAAATCGCATCATATGACCCCTTTAATAAAAATACTTTTGTTTTCCACAGAAAAAAAATACAAATTTTAAAAGACATAAGAAATTATAAAATGTTCATTTTTGAATGAACTGCTTGACGTGAGATTTTAATATCTAATTTGATCTCTATTGTCCTTTCTTTTATTTGCCTTATTGCTGAAACTCCAATTATATTGAATTTGATTATTTCAAACTTATTGCTCTAATATATTAGATCATTGTGTTTCAGCTATGATGGTCATTATATAATATTTTTCATAAGGTTAAAGTCCTGACCGTGGGTAGTCTCTCATTTGTTTGATTAAACAGGGTTTGAAATATCTGTACTATTTACTTGTAAATTACAGTGACATCAAAAAGTGTAAGACCACTAGTGGAAATTGTGTCTAAAAATCTATTGTGCGTTTCTATCATCCATTCCTTTAAAACAATTAAATAAAAACAATTATAAATAGTTTTTTGTTTTATTTTTTTTTCCAAATAACTTTTTTTTTCTAGGTTTTAAGTTCAAAATAAATGTTGAATCCAAATTCTCAGTGTGTTTTCTGTCTTTTGCAGCCCACTGTATACACATTTAGCATTTATCTTGATGAAGTAACCTTAATTGCACCCCTTTTATTGTGGAGGAGTAATAATGAGCAGGGGTGGGAAAGGAAATGTGTAGCAGATGGATTCCTTGCAGTTGTCTTCATTTGGGCCTTGTGGGTTGGATAACCGCACAGGACCCCCTCACAAATTATGTTATGAAATTACACGGAAATGACACTCCTTAGGATCAAGACAGGATAAAGAGGAACCGTTTGATGTCATGCTACATTTACTTTACCAAAACTACCTGAGGGTGTCTGAACTGCTATTCAGACTCTCGTTTCATCTGTCCCTGTCTGTATTTTACTCTGAGAAATGTTTTTGGGTTTATGCAACAATCAGTGGGTTTTAGAGCACAATGTATATACATTTAAAAAGAGATGACTATAGAGGAACACCAAAAGAATGGAGATCATAAAATTATTTAGGTACAATTTTATCTATGGCTGGATTAAGGTAAATTACACAAGACTCTTCTGTACATTAAACATCTTGTTTTATTGCCATAATAGATTTCTCATTCGTTTAAACTCATAGACCAGAAAGTTACATAACCTGCAGAGTAAGGACATAAATTGTTTTTATTACTGTTTGAGGGTATATGATCAGGGCCTGCCTTCATGGGCCAACAAAAGTATAGCCAAATATCAACCAATAATATCAAGTGACAATAAACTTCTTTTGTGAAATATATTGCTTGAAAAGTTAAAGGAATTAAAAATGTTTATGCACTTGTATTATAGGCTACACATGTTATGGCTCATTCATCTAGAAATCTTTAAAATCCTGTATTACCTTCTCTTGGAGCCACTGGATCCCAGGCGGACCACATCTGTACGAAGAAAAACGGCGTCCAGCATATGATATAAGCCAGGACGATCACAAACGTCATTTTCACCGTCCTGATCTTAGCTTTGGAGATCAACTTGACGCTGCTGACGCGGGAGAGCGCGGTGCCCTTGGTAGGCCGCGGGGTCAAGGACAGACACTGGTCGCGCCGGGTCTTCAGCTTAAAGTTTTGCCATATTTTATAACTTATAAGTCCATAACAAACGCTTAAAATGGCTACAGGAATGATGTAGATTGTGAGACTAATCCACGTAACGTAAGCCTTTGCGCCCCAGGGCTGAACAAAATCCCCCCAGCAGTCGAAGACCCCGTCGCCCACCTCTCTGAGGGAGAAGATGTACACCTGTGGCAAACTGAATAGTAGGCTTATAATCCAAGAGGTCAGCACGAAAAAACGGTCCTTTCGACGGCGCAGGGAACGCAGAGGCTGCCATATAGCCAAACATCTGTCGATAGACATCAGCACGAGCATGTAAGTGGATGCAAACATGCCAACCACCTGTAGGTACTTCACCAGGCGGCACAAAAAGTCTGGTCCATAAAAGCGAAAGGTGATGTCCCAGATAAGTTGAGGGAGAACTTGAAAAACCGCCACCACCAGGTCAGCTATGCTCAAGTGTTTCATAAAATAGTACATCCGCGACTGAACGTGTTTACTCGTTTGGATAGCCACAAGGACGCACAGGTTGCCGGCGAGCGCCAGCAGCAGAATCAACACCAGGACGGTTACTTCGACTTTCGCCACTTCTTCGTTGCGCTTCAGAGGGTTTACGGGTTGGTTAAATCCTCTGCTGTCGTTTCCCTTGCTTGAATTTGCACAGGAGTCGTTGAAGGGCCAGAAAATCGTTTCTTTCAGCAGGCTCTCCATTGTGCGTAAAATGCGCGTCCGAGCGCGCTGTTGTGGCGGCACTCAAGCGCTATATATAGTTACACACTTGTGGAAAGATGCCGTTAGGATATGCATTTAGCACCACATGTTGATGATAAAAAAAATAGGTCCAGTTCACTGCAAAATAAAAATGAAAGAATTTCAAGACGGTGTTTTTTTGCTTTCGTTTCAGTAATTTTCCAAACGCATTTTTGAGGTTCGTCTTGCGTAATCTATTTATCGCAGTGAGCGAACAAATCACTAGTTTGTACGTGATATATTTGCAATATGAAAAGTTATAATAACACCAGTGTTTAAGTTTTTTCAATGTTCTGATCTGTTGCTATGGTTACCTCTTCGAACGCGATTACTGTTCGCGTGCGTCTATTTTGCGCCTTGACTAACTTTCGTGGTTAATGAAATATTTGAAACCCCAATTAAACATTGCATATCTGTAAACAGTATACTTAATAAAAAACAGCTTTTTCTTTTGATTTCCTTTTTTGCAAGTCCCTTTAATCAGCGTTTATTCTTTTTTCACAGAGCATAACCTATAATAAACAATATATTAACCGTGTTTAACTGTAATTTTAAATACCAATACCAGTTGGCTATATAATATGCATTAAAATAGTTCATTTCAAATATTCAAACTATTGTGACAATTACAGTTTAAAAAAAAAACACTTACCCTAAATGTATTTCGAGAGAGATCCATTCTGTATGCCTTTGGTTTGAAATGAAGGTATCACTGATGTATAGCGTTGACTTTCTTCTATGAGTGCTCGGATACAGCAGCTCTGTCTGCTCAAATCTCAAAGCGAACACAGTTATATGAGGGCGCACTGGGTGGATTTGTCCTGGCCTGCACTTACACATTTCTGCCACTGAGTGCCATGGTGCTGTGCTGTAATATTGAATGTATTTTACCATGATGATATTTATAGAAACAATCAACAGCTAATGTGCGGCCCAGTAGGAGAGACAGGGTTTAGTTGTCAAAAGCAATTTTAGCTAGCTGCAGATTCCCATTGTGGCAACTTACCCCAGATATTGTGACAACATGCCCCAATAGCAGGTTCAGTGTGTCAAATGAACTTTAGCCTGCCTTCTTTTCCTGAGCAATAATGGTGGAAAAGTTCAAACGCTTACCTATGTAGAAACCAACTTTCAAAAATATAAATAAATTAATAATGAAAATAGACAAAGCTTTGTTTCTTCATTGTGCAGTGAATGGGTGCCGTCAGAATGAGAGTCCAAACAGCTGATTAAAACAAAAAATCCTGAAGTTAAAGACATCTTAATGATAAGTTTGTTTATTAAAAAGACAGCTTTTCACTTGACAAGACGTTAACTGATGGACTGGAGTTGTGTGGATTACTTGTGGATTATTGTGATGTTTTTTATCAGCTGTTTGGACCCTCATTCTGATGGCACCCATTCACTGCAGAGGATCCATTTTGGTGAGCAAGTGATGTAATGTAATGCTAAATTTCTCCAAATCTATTCAGATAAAGAAACAAACTCATCTACAGCTTGAATGGCCTAAGGGTTAGTAAATTAATGGAATCAAAAAACAAAAACAAAAAAAAGCTTATAATTGCTTATTCTTTTCATGTTTCTCATGTCCTTGAATTTCCATTGCACTAAATATTTGTTTCCACTGTTTCTGACTAACACTGACATGGCTGGCTTCTTTTAGGGGCAACATCCTGCCCCATACACTTAATGCCCTGTCAGGTGCAGTAAGGAGTGTGCCAGCTGAAAATAACTCTGTTTTAGATTGCATGGACTGAGAGAAGTGTTGCACTTTCCACTGTTTACTTGGGTCAGACTTTGCCACAGCCAGTTTGGCCACTGATTAACCGTTCATACATATTGATTAAAATATTTCTGCTGGACAAACCCAAACCGCGTTGGACAGTCAAGTTGTTTTTTTATTGGCACCTCAGGATGCTGATTTGGTCTCTATTGCAAAGACGAGCAGCTGAATTTAAAAGCAGGGAGAAAAAAAAATGTCCTGAGAAACATGTCTGGTTGGGTTACTGGTGCAATAAATAAATATTTATTTAACAATGCAACTATGATTATTTAGCATAGTTTTAGAAGCTGAACATTGTTTTTGCACTGAGAACACAAATTCAGAGTTCACACTCAAACAGTTTCTTTCAAATGGAGGATGCTTTTTCGCTATATGCTTTTGACTGGAATCCACAGGAATCCACAAAATAAACTTTCTTTATTTTGCCATGTTAGTGAAATTACAAATACAATCATGCATAACCAATTCAAGCAATTTGAATTAATAATGAGTTACACTGAGAATAGTAATTATGATGTCACTCTCGCTATGAGCCTTGACAAGGGGAGCACATATAATTACAACCATTGATTAGCACTACCTATGATTGCACCATCATCCTCAGTACCCTATTGAAAAGACCAGGTTAGACCAGCATGAATTTCCAACATGATGATAATGTTAGAACAAGGAAGTGAACTGATTAAAAAGGCTGGTGGGAACCCCAACACACGCTGGTCACCAGCTATATACTGTGTTTTCAACAGGGTATCTTCAATGTACAGTTAAAGGCGGCTAGCTGACTCGAAACAACTCTGTTTTGGTCGAGGGAGAGCTTTAACACCATTTAAATGTTATATCTGAATACACTATTTCTGGATAACTGCTTTCCACTGATGTCAAAATGACAAGAGAACTGCAGCAGTGCTAATGTGGCACTGAAAGCAGGCAGTGTGAGAAGGCAGCGCAGGAGCATAAAAATAAACGCACAAGCTACATAGAGGCTAGCAAACAAGTGCATGAATATAAAGAAATACAGACAGAATATAAAGACATGCTGTGGTGTAAATAGGTATGTTTCCTGCATACCATCTTCTGAATAAAAAAATAACTGAATTTAAAAATATCTTTCACTGAAAAATTAAAATTATTTTAATTTACTCACCCTCAAGCTGTTCCGAAATTGTACAAGTTCCTTCTGCTGAACACAAAAGAGGATATGAAGAATATTTCTTTTATTGATGTACAGCTGATGGTAGTGATTGACTTCCATAGCATTTTTTTTCCATACTATGAAAGTCAATACAATGGCTACCGTCAACTGTTTGGTTACCAACATTTTTCAAAACATCTTCTTTTTCTGTTCAACAGAAGAAAGAAACTCATACAGGTTTGGAAGAACTTGTCGGTGAGTACATTACATTTTTTTTTTTTTTTTCATTTTTGGGTGAGCTATCCATTTAATGTGATTTCCAAGACCAAATTAAATGTATGCTTTTATATTACAAGCAAGATTATATTTAATTGTGAATCAATCAACCTGCCAATAATCCAATGCAGGGCTCTGCAATTTGCATAAAATCACATGCATTGCTTACTAGGTTGTGTTTTGAATTGTTCTTTTGTGAGAACATTTCAAAGGAATAAATTACATTTTACAGTTATCAGTTATAAATTGTAAAAAATGTTCATAATATTACCATTTTAAAGTATTTTGATCCAATAAGTGCAGCCTTGGTTAGCATAAGAGATTTCTTTTAAAAACATTTTTTAAAAAAAATCTTGAATCTGTATTTTGCTGGTGAATTTAGACAAATCACCCCTGATTTTTTGCTGCAATCAAAAATGTATCTTTTTGAATCATGTGCTACCAAATCCTTGACCCCCTACACATTTTCACCTCTATCTGAAAATAAATTGAAAAGAACGGAACAACTTAAAGTAAAATACAAGACATGCAAACCACTTCTACCTTGACATTCAGATTATGTAAAACATGACACTGTTAAATCATTTTAGCGAATGCTTTTAATGCTTAGAAAAATAGCAGACAAAATTTAATAGGATTTTCTCAGCAAACTGATGAAAAAAACCGGTTTGTTTACATTGGTTAATGGCAAGATTTATAGGCACTGTTAGTCTAAATCTTCCTGCAAAAGTGCATGTACTGCAATCAGGATTTGCCCTAGGCAACAGCAGTTTGGGGAAACCACACGTCTCAGAGGAAAAAGATTTTTCCTGTAGATAAAGAGGTTGAGTCTGCAATAGTGCAGCAGTCGTGTGAACCATTCTGCACGTTTGTCCCTTTCTTATCCCCACAGCTTCGTCAAAACCAGTTTTCATAAAAATGGAATATTTGTCAAATGGAGCAATACGTTATCTATATCTCCATATCTATAAATGGATACAAATGCAAACCCAGATGCAGAGACCTAAGAAACTGTTGTATATTCCTGTTTAGGAGAGTTGTTTATTGCTGTAGAGAGTGAATACTAGTCAATGTAATGCTGGGTACACATGCTGCGCACAATCCACTGCACAGACGAAAAGAAAATAGGACAAGACGACAACACAGGATAATTACACCTGTGTGACTATAATCTACCGAGTCCTTTAGGTTCCTGATAACCATAATTTCCTAGGACCTTAAGTAGCAAAAAGAGATGAAAGACACAATGGCAGTGGTTTTCAAAGATCAAACTGCTGCAAGCCTTGATGATTCAGTTCAGTACATTTCTATCAATGAATCTGTCATCATCTGATCCAGAATGGTTTGGTACAGCTTGTATCTCACATGTGAATGAGACTGACTTCAAACATCGGTTGCAATCTGCCCTCCGTTTATAGGACGGCAAGAACATTAGTGACCAATCATTGTAGGCAACACATCTTTCAGTCACTATATATTCCAAGACCTAATTCAAAAAGCCACTGCACCACAGGAAACCAAAAAGTACCTGGACACAGTAAAATATGTGAATATCCTTAAATTCAAGGAAAAAAATAAAATGGTCACATAAGCACAGTTTAAAACTATAACTATATTAGGCACCAATTTGCCAAAATGTAAAATAGTTACAAACTGCCATGAGAGCGTGCTGTAAAATTCATATATCTGAGAACTTCAAAAAGTAACAGCAAATCTCTCCTCAATAAGCTGCATGATTTGAAATATCATTCATGTAGGCAGCATGATCGGTGAGGGAGCAGTTACACACCAAAGTTTAATACTTAAAATAAGGGGCTTTGAAATATCTCAAGCAAGCACCACTAATGACAGCAATAAAGCCCATTGAATTTTCAGAAGGCTGCAATATAACAAAGAGTGAAAAATTTAAGGGGGTCTGAATACTTTCCGTACCCACTGTATATATATATATATTGAGATTTGTAAAAGTTCAAAAAAATTGCAAAAAAAAAAAAAAACTAGCCTATTTAAATGAGACATATTTTAACATACTTTAATATACCTATTAGGGATGTAACGATTAACCGGGAGCCGGTTGAAAATTGATTCACATATGTGACGATTCAAATCGGTTGAGATGCTAAACAAATCGCGATTCATTTAGGGGTAGGAGTTTATATGAATGTATGTCTGAGGGGAACTTACTGTCTTTAGAATATATCTGAGCACTTTAAACAGTAACAGCAAATCTCTCCTCAATAAGCGGCATGATTTGAAGTATCATTCATGTAGGCAGCATGATCGGTAAGCGACCAGTTATGCACCAAGTTTAATACTTAAAATTAGGGCCTTTGCAATATCCCAAGCAAGCACCACTAATGACAGCAATAAAGTCCATTGAATTTTCCAAATCAAAGCAATCAGATTCTGTGGTCTGTATCCTGCTGGGCCAAATCTGTTCTTCGTTGTCCCTTTTAGCTCTGGTTTTTGTCTATGCTTGCAAGATTATTAAAAGAAAAAAACATCAGGAATGAAATTTTACCATAGGGTGATTAAACAACACAATATGTCATGGGA